GCAAAGATAGTCATATTGTTATATAACACGCAAGTGTAGGTGTCATTCTTGACATCCTCCCCACATTCTTGTACACAGTATCAAGTATATCCTCAGCGCCTATAAATTTGTGCTTACTAACTAACTCTTAGTCTGGCATCTTGTCACCACTCACATACCATAGTCCACAATAGTGCCATCTGTGTACAGTACTGGCTTCCTTGAGTCCACAGTATCCCTTCTAATCTAGATTCTAGATTCTAGGATTATGTTTTAGAAAGCAGTATTTCATTTTCTCAGTGCCATAAAAACTATTTTGTAATACATTTTATGTAAGATATATTAATATATGTTATACTTTTATTATATATATGCTCAAAGACACGGACACACGTACACATACACATATACACACGAACTACACAGGCCTGAAATAATGTCTCATACACTTCTTTTCAAACTCTGGGCTTGACCTCCATGCTTCAGAAAATGTTGCATATGCTCTGAGGCGCATGTGTCTAAGCACTGGCTGGTTGTAGACTGAGCAGGCTATGATGATATGATTAGCCTGGTTGTCTCAACTCAAATGCAGATGACCAGGAAAACAAAATCTAGCAAAGCTGGGGCATACTTTGACATTATTTGAGTTAAATATCTATCAAAAACACCTCAATAATTTTCAAGGAGTTTTTCCTAAGTTTCTTTAAATTTCAAAGTACAGTCAAAAACAATAGAACACAAATAATGAAAAAGAAACTGTGCTTATCCAAGTGTTGAGCAGTGTATTTATTTAAAAGCCTTCTCTCGTCCTGATACTAGAATGGTAAGATTGTAATCTTGTCTGTTTGCTTATCCCAGAGCCTCAGTCTTCTCTCCTGTAGAGTAGGGATAGTATTACAAACTGGACACACACTGTATTGTTTAGAGTGTTAAATGAGACTCTGTCTCTTTCCTTATCTTTTTGTTACTCCTCTCCCCTCAACTCTCCGCCACCCCTCCTGAATTCAATGAACCTAATATTCCTCCCCCTCAGCTCACTGACCCTGAGCACTCCAGAGGAGGCAATTATACTGGTTTGTAGATCACTTTCACTAGGAATAGATACTTCAGTGATGTGTAAGAATGAGGACGAACAAAAACTAGCTAATAATTGCTGTCGTGGTTTTACTACAACCATAGTTTATAATCCACAGGTAAGGTACTTACGAAACTCTTATTCTTTCCATTTTCAACAATATTACTGGCTGGCCCCTTACTAAGAAGCAGTACTTATAATCCCCTAAAACATTAATGATTTAAGTTGATTTCATTTCATGGCCTGATAACAGTCATCAACATGAAGAACAAAGACTCTCAATTCAAATAAAGGTACTTATTCTCTACTAACCTGGCTCCTGTGGGATAGACAGAGGGGGGAATAACAATATAAAGTTATAACTTTATATTAATGTTATTGCATAAAATTCCTATGAGTTCACCCTGTAGCTTGTCTTAGTACTTTAAGGTTATTTTGTTTGGAGGTATCTTGTATCTTTCCATACTCTTTTGGCCTCTTCATGTCCCCCAACTGAAACTTGGATGAATCGTTCTTAGGATCTAAAAATTGCAGCTGTAAGAAAAGCGAGGTTGTATTTAGGTTGTACTTAGTCATAGACAAATAAAGCCATCTTTAAATAGTGATAAAATGGCTTTTGTCTCCAACTTGATATTCAAACTTTTATTTTATAAACAATATATTCCTGATAGCTCATTCCTCAGTCTACAACAACAGCAGGTATTCATTCTAAAATACATATAAGCCCTTTCAGAAATGCTATCACTGCACAGATTATTGATCTCGGTCAACTGTATGGGACCAAGTTAGCAAGGCTATTTTAGGAACTTCAACATTTTTATTGCACTGAAACAACAGCTCATTCCGAGTTCACTGGAGAGACCCAGGGACCAGGTCAGCGTCCTGCCGACCTTCCATTGATGTGCAGCCCCTGTGGTGGGATATGTTGACAAATGAGGTGTCTTCATCTGCCTAACGCTATTGAAAGACTTGTTAAAAACAGGTGACTCCAGGGAACTGAAGAAATTTATAAGTAACTACGATTGTAAAAAATGAAAAATTCTGGCAAGTTCTGAATGTAGTAGCTTTTCTTACAGCTGCAATTTTTAGATCCTAAGAACGATTTATCCAAGTTTGAGTTGGGGGACATGAAGAGGCCAAAAGAGTATGGAAAGATACAAGATGCCTCCAAACAAAATAACCTTAAAGTACTAAGACAAGCTGCTGCAGGGTGAACTCATAGGAATTTTACGCAATAACATTAATGTAAAATAATAACTTCAATTCAAATTATTTAGGATTATTTTTTGTTGACTTGTGGTCCATGTAGAAGTAGTGGTTTGCTCTTAGACTATCAATTCCCCCCTCTATCTATCCCACAGGAGCCAGGTTAGTAGAGAATAACACTGCATTATGTGTCATTATAACTGGGTTGCTGTGTGACTTTAGACATGCCATCCAAACTTTGGGAGTGTTAGTTTTCTCATTTGTAAAATGAAAGAAGGTTTATATTAATTTTTTCATGCAAACATTAAAATTTTCCTTCCTGTTCTACAGTACTACTATTCAATATTTTCTCTTTTAAATTTAACTATTTTAAGAGATTAAAAACATTAGGAATGATACAGAGTTTTAAAAAATGATAGGCATTCAACAATGGTTCTTATGTTTCATGTTGTTGTCTTCAAAGTAGTTGTTCAGATCATCATATATAAGCATGTAAAACTGGTCAAAAAAATTTAAGCATTAATTGTTCCATTCAACAAATCAATGGAAATTAGTAGTATAATTATCTTAGCTATCTTGTGTATATATATATATATATTTTTTTCTTTCCTCATTATCCAATATTTATTCTCTTTTTTTTGGTACCAGGATTCAAACTTATAGCCTTGTGCTTGCCAGGAAGGTACTATGCCCCTGAGCTACCAGTATATACTTATTCTTTAGTATTTTTCTCTAAAATAAATATTATAACAGTACTCAACATGCAGATCCTCCTTAGAGGTATTTTTTCATTGTGCTGATTATTATCTATGTGCACACTCCATTAAACTAATAATTATGGTCTGTTTTATTCATTGATGTATTCGAACCACCTTAACACAATATTTTTCAAATAAATGCTTGAAGTAAAGCTTACAAAGTGCTTAAGTAGTAATTGCCACTAAAGATTTGGTAAATGGTCCTATTTGATAGAGGGTTCAGAAAAAAAAAAATGGTTTCATTAACACTCAGAGTACCCTATCACTCTGACAGTAGAGAAAAGCCGTATTAGAGAGAGCAGCTGAAGGAGAGTGGGGACTATACACTCACTTTTAAATATTTGAAAGAGTACTACATGTCTCAAAGAAAAATTTTGTGCCAAGAGATAATATGTAAGTGGAAATATGTTTAAAATTCAGAACAGGAAGACATTTCTAACAGATATTCTTAAAGATGAAATGGACTAATGCTCATTAAGTGTGAATTATTATATGACCAATCAGTGAAAGAATTTTAAAAATTTAACTAAAGCTATAAATGTATTATTGTATTAATTAAATGATTGGAAAAGTACTTTATGTATTTAGTGTATTCAAAATATATTTAAATATGTTGAATTTTTTTTTTTTTTTTTTTGGTTTTTCTCCGGTACCGGGAACCGAACTCACAACCTTGCGCTTGCCAGGCAGGCGCTTTGCCGTTGAGCTAAATCCCCAGCCCCTAAATATGTTGAATTTTGATTTGTGAATTAGAAGCAATAAAATTATAGATGGAAATGGCAAATATAACAAATTCTTATTTTTTACTGAGATGAATAGTGTCAGTTTAATTTCTTACCATCTTATGCTAGGAATGGTAGCAAAAAATTAGGAGCTGCCCAGTTATCTATTTCCTATCAGAAAAGGAAAGCAGGACTGTTTAATGCCAGCTTCTTTCCTGTTATTTTTATCCCATTGGGTTCAGATTAGGCCTCCCCTGGCCTAACCCAGGCCTTAAGACAAGAATGAATCAAGAAGGCTGAGTGGGAGGAAAAGTTACTGCCTGAAGAAGAAGATGAGGCACGGGTTTTCCAGCTTTCAGACTTGGACTGAACCATTGGCTCTTTCTGGGCCTCAAACTTGACACTCGACCTTAACAAGCTCAGTTTCCTGGTCTGTGCTCAGTTTGGAGTTAAACATCAGTGTTTTTAGTTTTCTTACTTTCCAAATTCAGATCCTGTCACTTCAGATCTCTTTACTTATATGAGTTACTTCTTTATAATAAATGTAGTACATATATACATATACAATTATTTCATTTTATATATATATATATATATACACATATATACATATGCATTAACTTTTTATTGTTTTTCAGGACAACTTGTGGGATACACTGCTGCAACAATGCCAGGAGGGGTGACTTGAATCTGAACTGTGCCAGTCAGGTGACTTTTCTGAATAACTGAACCCAATCCCTGTAGAAGCTAAAGGGTTAGAAGTTTGTCTGATAATGATCTTAGTGATCAGACAAGTGGATGACAGTTATAAAATATAAAAGATCAAAGTAATTTCAAATGCTTTAAATCAAATTTTCATTTCCAACTGCAAATAGCATAATTCTATTTTATAAACCAAGCATACATAGCCATTCTCAAAATCAGTTTTAAAAGCAAAAGCAGCAACGTAGATATGCATATATTTCTCAAAATAATCACTCAAACATGTGAGAATTCATCTCATTTCCTTACAGTGTTCTTTTTGAGAATTTAAGGACTCATCAACTTCTCATGGTGACTTCTGTTACCATTAGTCAGCACATAGCGTATCTATTTATTTTCCATGACTTTTTCCAGCACTGGTAATTTATGACATTTAAGCTCTTTTTCTGGCACACATGCTTAAATTCTAGCACATCTGTCCTTATGCACCCTGAGATATCCTGGAATACTATGGAATGTCTGGCATTAATTTCATATGAATTTCTCATTGTCACTCACCTGCCCAGAAGCAGAAATTCTCCCGCCAGACCCAGGCGTCTCATAGCCATCAGCAGACCTCTCACTGTCATGCCCTCGCAGAAGCAGGCCACCACCCGAGCCTTGGGCAAGTGACTTGTGAGCTTTTTCAGGAGCTTGTCGAAGCTCTGCTCCCCTGCATTGCTGTAGATTTTGTAAGAGTGGGCGATGCAAATTCCTTCCTTTGCTGACATATCTTTGAAAGCTTCCATCCCACTTTCTCCGTAGTTGCCTGTGTGCAAACACAGATATGTAAGACAGAGTAAAATGAGAGCGTTGCATTATTTGGACACAATCAGAATGCAAAAGCATTAGAACCATGAAGATCATTTGATGATGTTAGACTTGGTTTTATTTTACATCTTTGGTTATACAGTTAATGGTTTTCACTATGGGACATACATGCACATGATGTATGTGATAATTGCCACTTCCTGAAATGTCCTTCCTTGACTCCTTCAGTCTGACATTTCACAGGGTTTCAATGTGTACAATATATTTTGAGCATATCCATCCCGCTATTATTCTTTGATTCATTGTCATCTCTGTTTCAACTGACTATCTTGCACTTAATGGTTCTTTTCATTTGCAGTATCAGGGATTAAAATCACATCTTTTACACTGAACTACATCCCAGCCTTTTTATTAATTTTTAATTCTGAGACAGGGTCTTGCTTCATTGCTAACTGCTAAAACAGATGGTTCTCTTGCCTCAGTTTTGCACGCCTAGCTAATGTTTTGAATTAATGCTGAGGAATTTGCACAAGTAATTTGAAATTAGTTGTTATGATTATGATTGAAATAATAAAATTCCCAATATACAGTCACAGTTTGGCAGGAAAAATACTTGAAAAATTCATAATATTTGGCATCTCTCCTAGCATCTTTGTCTCACCTTGTTTTTGTTTGTACAGTATGTACAGAAGCAGCTTGGAGTACAGAAGAGAGCTCTGTTACTCACTTGGAAAGTACTTAATGCTCCTTCACCTTGAATGTTAGGGTTAATATATATGTGATGTCTGGTATGTTGTGTGGATCCCATTAATTGAACCTATCAAGGTTATAATGAATATCCTAGACAAAGTTCTGCTGCTCTCTCCCAGAGGAGCCCTAACATATAAGAAACAAATGACATTACTACTGAAAATTAAATTCAAGGATGAGCTTAAATTAGCAGAATGAAATAAGATTTACTAAGCAGTACTCTTCAAAATTAAAATAGTATGTGTGAAACCCCTGTCTCTTCTACTTAATATTGCAGTGAACCTACAACTACTGTAAAACATTTCTAACACATGTGTGTCATAAAATATTGGAAAATCATAATTTTGACTTAAAAAGAAATTCTTTGCAAGCTGGGAATTAAAAAGGAGGATAAGTGAGATGAAAATATCTGAAGTATAGATATATTTTAGTAGTTGAATAAAAACAGTATTGTAGAATTGTGTGTTTAAAATAGTGACTTTATAAAATTCCACAGGTTTCTGGAAGATTAATGATCTGGACTTTGTGTAATATATATAAGGAGGAAAAACTAATAAAACAAATATGTCTACTCCCAACAGAGAATCAAGTCAATGGGAAAGGGAGCCATGCTATGATGTAAAACATGAAACTAACATATGGCTTCATTTTAAGCAACTGGTAGCAGAAGAAATCTACAGAACATTCTTTAAGAAGCTGATGATATAGAATACACATTTCATTTTTCTCTGACTAAACATTCTTTTTGAAATCTCATTTCTTACTATTCTATTTCACATGTATCTTAGCTCTATATATCATCCATGCTCTTACTTCCATCTGGTATATTTTTTCCCCCTTTTCTTTGTTGCTGTATTACCCGCTCTTCCTGGTTACACTCAATCAATTGTCCACACTGTAAACTCCATTAGCATGAAAACTACATCTTCTCCATGGTGCCATCAAGCTATTGCTTGAGGAAGTAACCAACCTATTTCAGTGTTTTTTAAAGTTTGATCACATTCATAATATATTTGATAATGAGAACTTGGCTAAAAATATAAACTTCAGCATTAATATTTCTCCTTAAAAACCATAACTCATATCAAAGAGTATGTTTTATCATGAGATTGCTAAAGGTTTCCAGAATTAGGTAATGTTATAGTGCTAGCACTCTGAATTTAATTTAATTTAATATATGGCCTATATTATATATGTGTGCAGAAAAAACACATAATATATTTACATGTAATGCTTTTCAAAATTTTAAGTCTCTTGACAGTACCAAATACACTTATGCATCATTATATTCTGAATTGCATATCATTATAAATTGAATTATATTACAATGCAAAACAAATTATAATTCATTACATACTGAATTACATTACATTACATATCAAATTACATTATGTACTAAAAGTGTGTATATATATATATATCTTTGTATAATATGTACTGAGGTATATCCTGAACAGAAATGAGGCACCAGAATTATTGTTGAAAAAAGAAATTCTGGAAGATTTGATTTGTCCAAATAAGATCATCAATTAGATGCTGAAAGAATAGCCAAGATATTCTTGTGGAAAGCATTCACCTTAGGAAATACTAATTCTCTTTAAATAAAGTTACTGGGCTTGATATTTCACCTCAGAATTCTGTTTAGTCTTGGTACAAATTACCCTTTGCCAAGAATATTAAAAATCCTACTACAAACAGTATTCTGTAAGAATACATCCCCAAAGGCTTTTATGACTAATAATTCACTACTACTATGACTATGATGCATTGTACTGACAACTACCAGTGAAGGAAAGCACTGTCAGTTCTCGTGGGAGTGTCTGACATGAGCCTGGCAAAACACCCTCCCTGAATATATGCCTGGGCAGAGACCATCGGTCTTCACTGAGTCACTGCTTCTTGGCCTTTGACAGGGCCGACAACTGTTCAAGTGGTGTGGACTCAACCCAGCCTCTGTGAGTGACCCGTGACTTGAACTAGTTGATTATCTAAACAGCCAGGAGTGAAAGAAGACTGAGAAAAACGTCTTTTCCCTTTTCATCGGTATCCTTTATAAAGATGATATGCTATTCATTCGAAAATAGATGTCTTTTCCCCCATTACAGCTACATATACAACAAGTGTAGCATCTTGAACTCTGTACTGCCTCAATTGCTTGCTTTTCTTCTGTAACTAGACGTTTAGATTGGTCTACTTTCACACACACAATGAACATAGACAGACAGATAGAGGACTGAAAAAGGTTAAATGGTGGAAAGAATATTCTCAAGTGAGTGTCAGTTAACTAAGATGTATGTGCTCTAATGCTGTAGATGTAATTAGTGGAAACTTTTAAAGTGAAAGGGCCAGAGTGAAAAGTGATCATCAGCTGGCGTGTATTTTCAGCAGGTTTCCATGAATTTTTATAAATATCATGGGACGACAGAGATATGAAAACCTTTGCTAACAGATTTCCATGTTTTGTCCAGTGGTCTAGTAATTGCAAATCTTCCCTTAGAGCTTTCCGATATTGTGAGCCAGATAGTACAGTATTAAGTAGGAGGTAGAGCATTTTTGGATCTCATCCAGGATATTTTATTTTGGGAAGTACTAGAAGAACCTTTAACAAATTCTCTTTAGGTATAACTCTAAGAATGTATTATGTTGGCAAAATTTCAGCAATGCCTCCATAGTAAATTCAGCAGAAAAAAATGCTAGTGTAACATTTTTATTTGGACAACATTACTTTATAACAATGCAAAAACTATTCTTATGAACTTTGAATTATATGTTTAAAGTATTTTTATGAGAGTGCAAACAAAAGTTCTTCAGTGTTGTTATGCATGTATATCCCAAGTGGTTTGTTGATTGATAGGAATATGAGGCATGAAGCTAGAGAAAGATTTTGGTTATAAGAACAATGGTACAAGTTGATCATACAAACTTATATATGACAAGTGACAGGAAATCAAATCACTGAAAGAATGGGGACGGGTAGAACTGTAATATACGCCAAAGAAAATAAGCTTTTGTGTCATATTCAGTCTCTCCTCTATGTTTTTGGGCTCTGGAATTAAAAGTTATGATATCTGCTCTCCCCAATAATTCTACTTCATAGAATTGAGTTGAATCAAGTGACATGCACAAAACTGAAAACAACAAAATTTAGAAAAAAGTCAAGTTGTAGGAAATTATTTTTAAATTCTGTTAAATAACCATACAGAAGTGCTGGGTAGGAGATTAAGGATGTTCCAGCTCAGAGAATAAAAATCTGAAATAGTTTGGGAGTTCTCCAAATATGGAAAACAACTGTTAAAGATGAATGAATAGGAAGGGAGGAAAAACTCTGCCCTCGGGCTTACCCAAAAGAATTTAAATATTCATATATATATTAATTAAGAAGAAAAGGCTGACAAGGGCAACATAGAAGAAAAGAAATCCAGAGAATCTATTTTTATGGAAGACAAGAGAATAAAGGGCTTTTACTTTCTATTTCATGTTAACTTTGCTGAATACTAAATGTACAGGGAAAATATCCCCAGATTTTGGCAACAATAAAAGTCCTATAGGAATAAGCTTGTGCGGATGGGTGTAAAAATGTGAAGAAAGCATATTCATACAGTTTTTTGAGGTACTTGTGGTTAGAGAAGAGCAAAGAATTATGGCAGTAACCAGAATTTGAAAGAGATTTGTTCATTTTTAGATGAGGAAGCTAAAGTAAAGGGTGTAGTTCAAGGCATGGCTAGGAATAAAAATAATACTCAAGTCACCATCATCATCATTATCATCATATCCATATCTTTGCCATCAAGAACAATGATTCTATGTAGATCTTGTAGAATTACTTGGTAGAAAGTTAGTAATGTATACTATCAGGTCCCACACTAGTCACCTCAAATATGTTATTATCAAAGCCAACTAACTTCGTGCAGTAGCCATTATTCTTTGCACTTACAAATACGGTGTTCATGCTGAGGGAGTTGGCCAATTTACAGCTAATGAATGAAGAAACTGGTATTTCAACAACTGTCTGTCAAATTTTAAGTTTCATGTTCTTTTCCTCCAGTGTACTCTTAGTCTTCAGCTACTAGGGGGAGGATTGCTCAGTTTAGTTCCATGGTTCTTCCAAAGACATTTTTCCACCCTATAGTAGTTTTTTTTTAAAGCTAATTACAGGTATTATTGAGTCAAATATTTCGTCATGACATATGTTACTTTATAAACAAACATTTAGCCTAACATTTCTCACACAATTTAACAATAAATGAT